AGAGATACAGATAAAGAGATAAAGATTGAGAGATACAGATAAAGAGATAAAGATTGAGAGATACAGATAAAGAAATATAAAAAAGAGTTAGAAATTATTTGTTGAAATATTTTTAATTCCAGTGTTTGATGTGGAGGCTGACACTGAGAAAAGAGAGAAGGCTGCTGATAATATGATTGTTCTATCAAAGGTATCTTTTGCTTGAAGCAATGATTTAAAGGGAGTGCTCCGTATAGTCATAGAGAAGAGTTCAGGGTGATTTTCTATTAAAAAATGGATTGTTATGGGTTCAATTTATTTTTTTTTAAAGTAAGAAACATCAAATATGAATTACTCTGAAGATGATGTCCAGTTTTAGAAATTTTTCCCAGAGCATCTAATATCATAATTTTAAAATGAAACACTTGAAGAAGTTGCTGTCCGCCCAGTTCTAATGGAAGTTAGATATAAGTATTTCCTTTTTCATCATTATATTGAATTTCTTATTTTCTATGAATTTGTTCGCAGATTTCTTCAAATTCTTTAAATGTCGTCTTTCAAATAAAAAGTCCTAAAAATCTGCAGAAAATTCTTTGTGATCAAAGAAAGATTATAAAAACTAATAATAATTAATAATAATGTTTTTAGGACCAAGGTAGATTGTTGATTACAATATAGTTATTAGTTATAATAGTAATAATCATAATAATAATGTTCTAAGGAAAATGCCGGAGCTGAATGTGTTTACAATCAGGACGTGGTGCCAAAGATAGTTAAAATAATGAAGGTTGAGAAGAATCAGAAAATAAGGTATTTAGTTATCATAGTTAATGAAACTATAGCGAGTTAAGACGTTATTTTAAACGACTCCCCACTTATAGAACGGTATGTCGGGTTCACAGCGGTAAAAAAAATACATCAGTATTTTATCATAATCCCCCGGTGGTTGATCATTTGTGTTGCCCAGGGGAAAAACGATACAATTTGACTTTTTAAGACAAGTTTTTTCTAACTTATTGATAATTTTCCTCCAAATTTTTTTTTTCGCTCCCTCCTTTAATCATCTGTTTTCTCTCAATTCGTCGAAACATCTGTGTAAAAATGATAGAAGGGGAAAAAATAATTTTTCAAGAAAACATTTATTCCTGAACGTAATTTTCAAATGTAAACAAATGATGTTTTGTTCAGGTTATCCCTAGTGCGCGTGCTCGGGTTCCTAGCTAAGAGTAAGATGGAGCGCGCTAAAGCAATCTTGAAGGAGGCCGGGTCCCCTTTCTTTCTTAACGCTCTCAACACTAAGGAATGCAAAACTTAAAACATCTTTTAGAAAAATTTTTTAATTGGAAAATTACTGTGATTTACTATTTCGAATAGAAAATCCATTTATTTCCCAGAAAAGGGCAGTACAACTTTGAGACATCAGCCCCATGCAATGTGGAATTATTTATCGCAATTTGAAATTTTGCGGATTGCAGGATGAGGATTCTATTACTGCTGTCACCTACGTGATCCAAGCTATCTTGGATTCACTCTCCAGACTGGATTTAAGGTATAATACACGGAGCATAATAATCAATACCCATGTTTTTATCACATGACCAGGGAGGAAGATTGAACAGATAAGTTCAATTTCAAATCTTCTAATGTTTAACACAGAACTTCGGGGCATTGAAAGAAAGGATAAAATGTCGTCTTGACAATTTTTCAATTTTTTCGTTACTTCTATATCTATAGAATTTTCAGTAATTGTACAAAAAAAAATAAAAAAGCCATGAAATATGACGATTAAAAACTAAATTTTTGCAGCATTCCATTATCAGCAGGTTTAGAAAAACTTCATATTATAATTTGTTCGAAGTCTCCAAAGTTTTGGATAAACTGTAGGTAAAGTATACAAGTCCATTACATAGTACATATGAATAATATTTAAAATATATTACTATAAAGGCCTAAAATGTTTCAGTGCTAGCTGGGTTCATATAAAATGGAACATATTTGATCTTGATTTGTATTAAACTAACATATTTAAGATGAGAAATGAGATTAAAAGAATATATTAAATGATAAAATATATGATGTTGGATTTTTGTTTTTATGATCATGAAATGTATGTATAAATTATTTCCGTTCTAGTGAGAAATGGAAGGATAAAAGGAAGGAGAAGAAGAGAATGACTGTTGAAGAAAGAAAGAATATGAGAGCTGATGAGGAGGCAAGAGCTGAAATAATTAAGGTACATTTTATTTTAATTTAAACAAAGTTTTGTGTTTGAATATCGGAATTAAGTATTGGTCTCTATCTTATGCGCAGACCTTTAATTCCTCTTTGATATCCCGTGATGGTTAAACCCTGTCAGGGATAACTTTTGAAGATCAAGTAATTTAATAGTGTCTTCATTGGATATCGAGATAAATTGGCCTAGATTAACGATACTTCACAAAAAAGATTGCTTGGGCTCTATAAAATCCTGTTGAAGGCAGGGGTATTTAATTTTAAGAATCACCCACTAATCATGTTTTTATCCTTTTCGAAACATTTTACCCAACATTTTTACCCTTTAAGAAGATTTTCAAAAAATTATGCATTCTTGCAAAAAAATATATACTTTCAGTCAAATAAAAAAGTTCTTGTTTTTTCAGTTGAAAAAATTTTTATTTAAGTAAAAAAACTGAAATGAATTGTTTAACTTAAAAGTTGATGAAATGAATTATTTAGGAAAATAAATTAGAGTTGACAAGTATCATGAACACAATCTGTTTTAATACTACATCAAGGACTATTACAGGTGAATATTTTTACTATTCATATTTTCAAAATATGGAAACTTGAAAACATGGGAAATTGTTTTAATGTTTTAAATACAGAAATAGAAATGTGTAAGTGGCTAATTTATTCTTAATAATTCGTATTTCGTTTATTGCTGGGACATTGGATTATTTCTAAAGGCTGAGGCAAGTTAATTTAAGAAGAGAAACTGACGGACATTGTTTCATTGTCTAGTTGTAATATCCCCCTTACTGGACTTCTGACCTACTAACTTTCCGACCTACTGCAATATCGTACCTAAAACAGCTGTTTATTTTTGTGTTATTTGAGGGTTAGGTAAGGCTAGGTTAAGATAATTTCTGAACCATGCTAGGGGGCCGGGCGCTGTGGCCATAAGTCCATTTAGCAGGCATAAAACCACGTGCTAGTAGGTTGGATGTGTACTGTGTAGTATAGCAGATTTGGCGGAGGTGAGAAGTGGAGTTTAGCGGATGTGCGTAGGTCGAAAGATACACCACCAACTGAAGAGATAGACAAGAAAGGGAGAAGAGAAATTTAAAGTTGGTTTATTCTTATAATGGTGTAGTGCAGGGGCGTACGAGAGCATTTGTGTAGGGGGGGGGCACATGTAGAGCGCGTCAGCGCGCAAAAATTTTTTATTGTGGCCCCCCTTAAAAACCCCCTTTTTGAAAAAAATATTGATACCTTTTTAACTATCTAAACTAAAATCCCTCTTAATACTGCGGCACTGCGGTCAGGACGTGCTAGGTGGCTGAGCGCCGCGGCTAGGACAGGCTAGGGGGCCGAGCGCTGCGGCTACGGTTTAGGATAAGTTAAGACATGTTCGGGGCCGAGCGCTGCGGCCACATGTTTTACATTTAAGATCCTCTTACACTTAAGATTCATGTACAAAATGGATAGGGGGGGGGGGGTGTCCAAAAATCGCTCTCTATCCTTTTCTTAAGCCATAGCGCTCGGCCCAAAAAAATTCCTAAACTAATCTTACCTTCTGAAAACTTCGTGGTTTGATAAAATTTTATTGATTCTGTTTATTTCAGAATAGTTCTCTGAAAATGGGACAACAGAAGAAGAGCTGCAGCCTAGAGTTGACCGACCCTGTGCTGTTGAAGGAAGCAGGGAATGAGGCGTATAAGAAGGAAAACCTGGACGAGGCCCTAGCCTGCTATACTAAGGGTTAGCTCATTTATGATAAGACTGTTACTTAAAAATAATGTGGGGTAACATCTCATTTTTTCGAGAACGAAACATAACTTCTTGGTAGGGGGGGGGGGGACTAATTTTTCTTTAAAACGTATACACCCCCTCGGTTAGAATTAATACAGTTTATTAATATATGACATGAGGAGATTCTGGCTTAACCTGTAGAATAATAATCTAATATACAGTACGCTCTTATCTTGATCCACTTTCAGAAGAAAAACTTCAAAAAATAAAAAATAATCATTTTTGGTCTTAACTGTTGTTAAGTAGTGTTCATTATCCTCGTTGATCGCACACAAGTACTGATCGAGTTTATTCTATTTATTTCAGGTTTAGAAATATCCTCTGCTGACCTAGATAAAGCTGTTTTATTGAAGAATCGAGCAGCAGTTTATCTCAAGACAAAGAATTACGAACAAGTTGTCAAGGTACAATCATAAAACCCCTCTTCCCTTGATTCAATCTCTGTATTTTGCAGAAATATCGAATAAAGTCTT